TATATATAATTATTATATATAAAACATGTGTACACACGTATCCTTACCTTTCTTCAGCATTTTGTATTTCTCTTCATTTTCCATAAAGTTTGGATCCATCTTAAAAACATCTTTAAAATAAAAAGGAATCTTTATTTAAAACATAAAACGAATAAGACAATGAATATTTAATTTAAAATTGTTTTCATGGGGAATGCCGTCATAAAAATCAGCTTCTGTTCCTAACTTACTAAGAATATCCTCTGGGTTGTAGTCACCTTCCAGTGGCAACATATGAGTAAACTGATCCTCCTCTTCCACCAGATCTAATCCATTTGGAATGACTGGATGATCCTTGAAGCCATCCTTCCGTACAGCAAACATGACTTCTATCATATACTGAACACGCATATCAATTTTAGATTCGTGCAGAATGTGTCGAAGACGGTCAAAGATTGCTTTGAAAAAAAGACACAAACAAACATAGATATGAGGAAGATTTATTAATACCAAAAAGAGAAATGTTCCAGCTAATTATACTCACCATTAATACCTCTAGGAGAAATTTCTGTTAACTTGAGCCCACTCTCTTTAATAAATCCAATTGCTACTTCAATACTGTCATCAGTAGGCCTTTCAAGGAGCAAAGTGAGCATTTCCAAACATAAAACCTCATGAGCCTATGGAAAGAATATCAGTAAAGAGTTAAAATGTACCATTGTACATTATTATTTTTTTATTAATGTAACAATGTACTATTGTTACATCATTAATACAGTGATTACTTGACAGAGCAGCCCAACATATCTCTTTAATTACACACACAAGGCAATAGTATTGCGACAAAGCTAATTTAAGAGGAACTCAAAATTTAAATACAATTTTACCACTTGTATTAATGCTAACTTTGTACTGAGCACAACTATGCTATTAACAAGTGAGTAATGAAAAACGCTGTCTTTAAAAACAACAAAAAACCCAGAATACATTTCCAAGAAGCAAATAAACCACCACTTAGGTTACAGAAACTAGTTGTATGTAAATACACTGTTTCTATAATTAAACGAGGTTTCTGAGGATCAGGCATATAAGCAAAGGGCACATCTCTGATTAGTCTCCCATTTACCAAAATGCTGTACCTTCCCGCTGCATTCCTGAAACTCTGCTTCTTGCCATTATTTAAATTGGAGTATCCTGATTTCTAACACATTAAGTAGTGGCATAGAGCTGGACACAAATTTGATTTAGATGCAATCAAGTCTAATTTTTTTGTGACACTGTCAAGATCTGTGGGACAGAGCCTCAGACAACACTTGCTTTGCATCAAGATTGGTCTGAATACTAGACGAAATGTATTTATGAAGTCTAGGAAAGCTCTGGAGCATAAGCGCAACAGTAGGTGATTATAACTGCAATGGTAGGTGATCATAACTGCATAGGCAACTACCAATTTCTTTTCTATCCAAACAACTTAAAGCAGGCATTAAAAGGAAACCTCAACTCAGATTTTCAGTAATCTTTAGAATAGGGAGAGCATCTTCACTTAGGCTACTGCTATTTTAGATGAAATAGCCATAGAGGGTTTGGATTGAGTAGAAACAAGGAGTAACATACCACATTCTGATTCACCAAATGTGCAACAAATTTTGAAGATGTTAAACAGAGTTGCTGCAAAGGAAATACACCAGGAAATGTTAACACAGCATATAGGGAAGAAAAAATAAGTTTGTAATTCACAACATACTATAGATTTGTGCATCTCACAAACAATTCAGGAAAGTTTTTGGGATATTAATAGTTGTCCACCATTAGGACTGTACATTTGCAAAAAACCAAACCAAAATCAAAAACACAGTACTAACCCAGAGCAAGCTGTCAAATTTTCACGACACTTTAATATCACTATACTTAACGTACTAATGATAGGTCCTGTCCCACATCTTGTCTGTGTTCCTTTAACGTCTGCAATCTGAACACACCTCACAAGGTTAACACAGCAGAACTACGTTTCAATACGTGGCTTTTTCATGTTTTACATACCTTATCATTTCTGCGATATCCTTTACGAAAATTTAGTATCAACCTCTTGAGAATCAATTCCCCAATATTTGGAAACTTGGAATTGATAATTGCCACAAGAGCTGCATAAACATGGGTAAAAATTGGAGAGGCACTCTGAGCTTGCAAAATGGATCTAGACAGCAATCCCCTGCAAAAATACGTAAGTTTAAGATTTTTTTGGTATTAAAACATTTCACTTTTTTATTCAGTACCTATCACATAAAATAGTATGGTACAGTCGGAATAGCTAGAAGATACCAGATGGTCATTTCCAAACTTGTTTATTGTGCCACAAATGGGAGTTTTGCAAAATGCGCTGACAAAATGTGTCTGAGCCAAGAAATTCATAAACTGATATCTTATGTTTCATTAAATATTGTTCCTATTAGAACTACATTTGAAAATAAGCACGTAACTAGTCTTCATCTTGTGTCCTGCAACTACTCCTTTTTTAACCGTAACACGGTCTCTTCTTAGCTTTGAAGTAGGGATGATCGTGCTGTTTCTTTTCCTCAGTTGAAAAAACAAAATCCCTTTTTGTGACAAAGAACATCTGCTCTCTGACTACTTATTAAAAGCACAGGATTGTGTTCCAATGTAATGATAACTTAAACAAGCAAAATAAAATTGTATTTCCATGAAAGGTCCCTAATAATAAAGATCTACCTATAAGTAATAAAATTGAATGTTCAGTAAAACCAGAAAGGGCAAACTAATGCTTTTAAATGCTTTTCTCTAATGAAATTCTGTATTTTCAACACAAGAACTATATTTTGGAACTGAGAACTGATTATAAAAGATTCCATTCATTTTTGCTCATGAGATAATAGCTCTTTTATTATACTAATGGTCTCTCTTACAAGACTAAACTCTGAAAAGAATCAGAGACTTTTTTTCCTCCCCTCCCGTTTTTGCTTTACCACATAGAATTTGACTTTTGCTATATTACTCCACGACACAAATGGGTGAGAGGAAAAAAGAAGCCAAACAAACATGAATCTGCAAAGTGCACACTGGTATCCATCTCTGTTCTCTGCAGTCCTTTGGAATCTACTAAAAAACCTCCTGTGTGGTACTAAATACAAACTGCATAAGGGCCTTATCCCTACTTATTTTGGAGTAGGCAAATGTAATGGAACTCACTTCATACTACCGCACAGAACCAGCATTTCATTTTGAAACTAGTTACTTCCCATTTGCAAACTGATCTTATTTACCCTCTACTTAGAAAAACTCAGGCTTTACACCAAGGTAAAAATTCACGTGATTACTTTTTCAGGTTTGCACAAAGGTGCATATAAGTCAAAGCTAATGGTAAGAAGGGAAACAGTGCCATTTTCTGCCTACATTATTTCAAAATGCACAAGCTTACAGGTCACATACAAAATCTTCCACAGATAAGCGTATTTCAAAAATACTCAGTAAGATAATTTTTAAGCTAAAGTATCATTGCTAGTATGAAAATTAAATTTTGGGGACATGAAATACGTAAAAAAAGCAGTTCTACAGCAGACTGCTTGAGACTTCATTAATAGAAATCACATTTGGGAACTACCTGCTCACTCTGGACCTTACTTAATTGTCTCCTGTTATTTTTACACTAACTGCAGGATTCTGACCTTGCCTTCAGATATGACATACATGAAAGTAACACGTTCCTTAGCTACAGCCTCCTCAAATAACAGTGATTAAGTTATGATAGAAAAAGTGTTGCCACTCCTTGAAATTTAAGTTTGTTTAAATGAAAGTGAATTTACCCATATTTCTTTAGATGAACACATTTAACCTCTGCTGACATCAAAATTAAAGCAAGGAAAGTCAAGATATAGTATTTGCACAGTCATCACAACTTAATACTGAGCTCAAATAGCATAATCATCTTTTCTCTACATTACAGCAATAAACAATTCAGTCAGATAACTCCAGTAAAAAATTGTTTTGCTAGATACTGGCTACAAATATCATTTGTCCCACAGAAAAAAAATAAAGGAATACAAAGTAAGTAGACAGAGTCACCTGTAAGCTGCAAGTCCTTTAAGCAAAACACATAGCTAAAACCTTTAGAAAAGGAAACACATCTGTTGCACTCTTATTCTTCCAAACATACAATCCCTTTACCCCCAGCCCTGCACAGGACAATGTAGCCTCCGTACACTACACATAACACACGTAGGGATGTACACATAAACAGTACACCTATTAGCAGAAAAATCAAAAGGATCATTTTAAAATACTAAGGCTTACCTTCCCCGAACAATATTTTCCTGAAGGAGCTCATGAATGATATTTTCTATATTAGAAACGTTCACTTTATTGACAAGACCATTGATCGACTTCTTCAAGGCTTCCCAACTCATCCTCTGATAGGCCAAGCTATTACAAAGGTATCACAAGTTATTATTGCATAAATTCAAGGTAGCACTGAGTGAATTTTTATATATATATATGAAAATGTTTGTGTAAGTTATAATCAGTAAAATAGATAAGAAAATATTCACTGCATAACTGTGAAGACTAGCTTATAATTATACATTTAACTACTAGGAAATCACTGAACCAACATGATATACCAAAATTTGGTTCTCCACAGATATGGCATAAGCCAGTATATTCAATTTTCTACAATACTCCCGAAAAAATAAAATCGCCAGTTACATTCTCTATCTCACTTTTCCATTTACACTTTGCAGCAGCAGGAGGTGCAGTCATAATCTGAGTCTCTTACATTTCTTCTGATAAAAAACACACCTTTGAAAGAACGATCACAGTCCTTAAAGCATATCTCATATTCACCAGCATTCACTGAAACCCTTTACTGTTTTGTTTCTAATACATTACTTTGAACTCACCTATTTTTATCAGTGATTTGCTCTTGCATCATCCTGAGCTTGGCAGGTGGAATATATGCACCACCTGTGCGGGTAAGGATTGGATCCACTTCTTCTTTCTTCTTCTTTGAAGTGGTCTCATCATGACCAGGTGAGCTTTGGGCTTTCGACCTCTCTGGACTCCTACGATCAGGTGATGAGTATCTTCTCTGCTTCCTTCGATCGGATTCCCTCTCCTCCCATTTCTCATGGTGTCTCTCTCGCCCTCTTTCCATCCTTCTAGAATCCAAACACCCAAGCATCCATGAAAAGTTTTCACATTTTATTTTTTAAAATGAGTATTTTGTTATTGACTAAGAAAGGCCTTGATACCTTCCTTCTGAAGTTCTGTCATCATAGTAATCCCTTCTTGAATAGTCCTGATCATATCTGCTGTCATCAGAGTATCTTCTCTTTCTGGGAGATGGAGACCTGTCACGCTCTACATCCCTGTTCATAGCCAAGACACAAAATTTTTAGCAATCGGCTTAGAGAAGCAATGCTGTTGACATCTGCCTGCAATACAATGCTTCACGACAGAACTGTTCCACTTGGGCTACCTGAGTTTCAATACACACATCATACAAGGAGAAGATGCTCCTTTTATAATAATTTGTTGACAGAAAAAAATAATCAAAAATCAAAGAAGCACTGTAAAAGGAAGATCCTCCTAGAACTTAAAATTAAATACTAAATGATAATAACATCGAATAGCAAAAGTAAATTCAGCATCATGAATTCACTGGAATACATACATTCGTTTCACCTACTTTTGCCTGTTTAGCATGAAACAGAACAAACGCTACTAGAAAAAAAATATATTGTGTTTAGTACAAGAGGTTTCATTCCAATTAAAACATGAAATTAAAAGCTAACTAGTAACAGTTCATCTCATGCCCTGATAGACTGCACTTCAAATGGTATTTCTCCACCTCCTGCTGGCATAAATAATCTTGCTCTAAAGTGACAATTGTGGTATGAGCAATATGCAACTCCTAGCAAGAAACTAGCATCTAATTTGCATTTTCCAAGTCCTGTGACAATTTCAGTGAATGCTAAGGATTTTTAAAAAGATTTAGCTTTAATAACAAATCTAATTACGGCAATATTGACATGCAAGTATTTTATTAAACCTATGCTTATTTTTCAGTGCTCAGCTATGGCAATATATGAAAAGAAACAGAATCTGATTTTTTTTAACTTACCTACCTCACTGTATGAGGAATATATACAGAATTGTAGGGTACAAAAATCAGTCACTCTACCTGTCCTCTGGAGACAAACTTCTTTGGCGTGAACTGTAGCTTTCCTTCCTTTCGTAACTGGAACCATGCTTTAAGAAAACAGAGAAAAAAAACCAAACAAGCGTCAACATTATACACTGATTACTGTGAGCACATGTGTCTTGAGATCAAAGTGTGCAACGTCTTCAGTTTCCCACTCCTTTACAAGAAGGAAGGGCCATCAAATCAAGCTTATGGCAGACAAGGAGAGGTGGTTCTAAATAGCAAGTGGTTGAGCAGCTGGACTCCCTGCTACAGTGTGCTGCAGATGTCAAAGGCTTACATGGATTCAAGAGACTGGGAAATCTGACGAAAAATTCCCATGGGTTACCAAAAATATTTATCTGGCTCAGGAAGCTGCAAATAGGCAGAGACTGGGAGAACACGAGGGCAAGTACTTTTATGGTTGCCCTGTTCCTAAACTTTTCAAGGCACTTGCTGGTGATTACTGGTAGACACTAGAATAGATGGACCTTTGGTCTGTCTGTCCTGCTCCCTTCTTGCATACACTGTTTAACACTTTGTTGCATCACCTGCCACACCATCAAAATTCTACCACTTCTTGTCTGAAGAGTGTCTTTCCTCTCTCCTAAAAATCTCCTTTGTTGCTTAATACCTTCCTCCTTTTCACTAAGCATAATTTGTTTTCTCATGAGAAAATACATATAGCTTCACATATTATAAACATTGTTCCACTTCACAGATCCTGGAAGTAAACTTAATTTCAAATTTTTCTGAAATCTAAATTTTCACAGTTCACAGCAAATTCTGTGGGCTGAACCATGACATATAGAAGTACGGAGTCATACACATAAATCAGAGCATGAAGCATCTACAACACATAGAAAGACATTCACCTCAGCAAGATGTTTCAAAACTGCTTTGGTCCAGCTAAGAAGTAGCTTTTATAACTTCTGTACTTTCATTGTACGGGTCCCCTCTTCCCTCAGAGTACTTATGATTTTTCTGAACCACAGTCTCATGTTACCAGCTAGTGATGAGCTGTGAAACAGCTAACACTTCACCGTGACACAGAAACTCAACGCAAGGATTCACTCAGGTGCCTTGACTGAATTTTTTGCAGAAATACTGATCTCATTTGTTGAAAGGGCATTCGACACATTAACTTGCTCGCACGCTAGTTTTGCCCCATCAAAGAACCAATTAAAACTGTTGGTTAGTAGAACACAAAGACATCTCCTTCAGGAGCAGACCCTGATGGACAGTTATATGCAACAATTTTCAAAAACTCAATTTGAAAGAAAAGGATCTTTACTAAATGGCGAGTGGGGTGTTTATAATGAGCTGTGCAAGTAAAATCAATGTAAACTGAGGATTCCTAAGGAAATAACAGAATGATGTTCCTTATCTTTGTGTTGTTATCAACAGATCATTGAGTCTGACTTGCTATCACTCAAACTGGAGTGCGTGTATATATGTAAATACGTATTTATAATTTGAAGCAACTACAATATATCCTAGAACATTGCCTTACTAGGGTATGCTTCTAATAGTGTTAAAATTATTCCCAGCATTACCTTGCCTGAATCAAAACAATGGTACAAAACAAATCCATTGCATCATTCACTCAGATTATACATCCCTACAAAAGTAATGTCCATCTGATAATTTAATTCCAGAGTAACCTTATCTTTGATGGCAAAGCTAGTATAAGAAATACACATATTATCACTAAGGGTTTCTTCCCTTTCAATACCCATTTGCAGCACTATATCATACAATAGATCACTGAAATAATTTAAGGTTAAAAAAAAGTCCTTTTTTTTCCCCAAAATAATACAATACAAGATTGTATTCTAAGGTTTGAAAAACACATAACAGTTACTGTATTTAAATAATATTTAGCAGATAGGAAGAAGTGGGTCTTCTGAGAATGACCTATTCTTATGCGTTCTACATCATCTGCCTTTGCCCAAGCAGACCCAAAAAGACAACTGCTCACAGAAATAAGCAATATTATGGATATGTTTGTATTTGACAGTTACTGTGTCTCCTTGCAAAAGCAGCGATGTTGGCTGAAGGACTTATCACCCTCAGCTTTTCACAACCAGGCTTTCTGCCACAAGTCACAGTCTTCTCCACTGTATGGTTTTATCAAAATGATTAACTGAAAGTGTCCAGACAGTGAGTCTCTGCTAACTGGCCTATTTTGACAGATGATGGAGCACTAACATAACCACCGGATTGGAAAGATACGAGAATCTATCAAACTCCGTATTAAAAATCACTTCAGTCAGAAAAGCTGGAACCAAAACTGCAAAGAGGTCTACGTAGGGCCAAACTCCAAAACACAGGCAGAGAAATACCATAAAGCCGACACAGTATATCAGAAGAATATTGATCTGCTAACCTGTCCCAAATTTAGTGTTCTTTTCAAACACAGAATTCCTATATAATCACTTCAGGAGAGTAATTTTACTGTAATTTTTTTCTTGCCTTCCTAATAATCACTCCCATTCATTCAGAAACATATTACATGGCTTTTAAAAAAGAAATCTTTCATCTTTCACAGTAAGAAATGCAGCTGCCACATTAACTCTTAGTTCTCATCACTCTTTTCATTTTGTCATCACTGCTAACTTTTCAACACCTCTTTTCTCCATTCCTCCACAGGCTTATGTTCTCTGTTGAGCCACCATTCAGTCACTTTTCACCACCTACTTTATTATTATATGCTTATAGTCTTCAGAACTTCCATTGTTAGGACAACTAGCACTAGAAACAGCTGTAATTCACCGATTTCATGGCAGTATTTCTGTTATTAACAGCTACTATCAGTTACAGATGGTCTTTGCTTTACATTTACATTTTATTAATCACCAGTAGCAAGGGAATTATCAAATCCCACAATTTAGGTCTGAGAACGCTTACATTCACTTGTGTCACCCTACTCTTCATCTTGATTTCCTAATTTTTATGAAGTCCTGAACATGCAGCAACTGGATGATCCAAGGGGGAGTTCAGCATACAAAAACCATTTCACCTGTAACACACAAGAGGACAGTCAAAAGCTTTCTACTGCAGGCTGTGCAGAAAAGTGCGCTTTCAAGTTGTTCTTTAAAGTTATGTTTGCCCGACTCCTTAAAATAAAACAAAGTGCCCCCTCGTCCAAGCCCTCCCAGCCAACCAGACCTCCTGGCTCACACAGCACCTGCC